CCAGCTCCATCACATTCAGTACATCTTGCCCACCCGCCATACTCAGCCCAACCCACACCCCATCACCCAGAACGCCCACCACCACCACCGCCGCCACCACCACCACCACCATCACCACCACCATCACCACCAGTTAAACCACCTCCATCATCGAAGTTGATACTGACCGCCGAATTCTCATGTCCACGCTGTCCACGTACATCCGCCTCACGAATCGGCCTGGTCGGTCACTTGCGAATCCATCGCACAGACTGTCGAGCAAGTCCATGGAGCACCAACCTACACTCGCCGCATCCACCTCCACTGTCCACATTGCATTCGCGCACTTATTCACCGCAAGGGTCTATTAGGCCACATGCACGTCCACGAAAACCCGCGGCAGACAATCGCCGGCTGCATCACACCATCACATCCTCTCTCACCAGCATCTTACCGAACATCAACATTATCCACCGCGAGCACCCAACTGCCACCTCCCACGCAAGTAGGAAGTGTGCGTCTCAGCCCCTTCTTCATGGGGGTCCCCTGCTGCATGTGTGATAGGGGCCTGAGTCGAAGACGGTTCGTCGGGTGCCGTGGCTTGGAAGGTAACCGACTGACGTCTCAACTCAGTCCACACAGCCTGCTCAGTTGTGTATGTGTAGAGTGGTGGACTGGTGGGCTGTGAGCCAGGCTGTCACGGCCCCTTCTCAGGCGATCTACGACACTCATGCGTGTGAGGAGTTTGGGTGTGTTTTATGGGTAGTGCCTCTCAGTCGACGACTGTTTGCTTACCTAACCTTGAAGGGTGACGGCCCAGGTTAAATGCAGGGTCACATGTCGCCCTTACACGTCAAAAGGTCTGAAAGCGTGTGTTATGCCAATATCAACAAACCATGGCCTTCGTAGTCTGGTATGCTCTGGCAGTTCCCTGGCACCTGGTTCCCCGCTGGTAGATAAGCTTGCGCTCCCGCTGGGTATACAGGCGGTGGGCATGGCTGCCCAGTTATCATCCTCGTCCTTCTGATCCATGTTGGGGTGTTGTTGTTGCTGCTGTTGTTGGTCAAAAACCTGGGTATTTGTTGTGTGGATCAGGGGGTGTGGAGTGGAACGCCAAGGTGCTGGCTCGACCGCGCCGTCCACCTGCGCCCTTTCCCGCCTTCGGTCCTCTTGACTCTGTCTTCACACCGGGTTCAGGTGGGAAGTGGGAGAGTTCGGCAGATGCTGTGCAAGTCTACCGTCAACATAAACTAATTCACGCACAAGTCATCGCGGCTGATTCACCTTCCAGTGGAGCACAAGATGGGCATCGTCGGCAACCACGGTCGGACTGTCGGGTGCAACGTTTGGTTTTTCGAAGTCTTCATTTGAAAATAACGAGAAGTTTAGTCGAAATTCGAGTGGCGAAGTTATAATATCAGCTATGACACAACTAGAACATCTAAAACTGCATAACGTCAGCTTCGGGAGGCTTTTGCCAAGACTAAAACGTCCGAGTTCTCGGTTTGACACAAGCTTTTCCTGGAAGAGCACATAGGCCATTAAAGGTGCCGGCGCTGTTCGCATCCCTTGCTTCTTCACAGATGTACGGATAAAACCAATTAGACGGTAAGGAAGATGACATACAGCGCGCATATAATCAATGCATCCTAAGCAGTCAATCGGTCGAACACAATGTGCGAATCAGCCGACATAGCGGCCTTGACAGATGCTAGACGATTAGTAGAGGGGCGATAGCACAGTGAATAAACTTCATACAATACGATGATAGGTTCGACAGCACTTTGTCCGACTACGTACTCGAACATCCCCTTTAATTTGGACTATTCCCCGTGAGAAGCACAGAGCGGCCTCTTCGGCGGAGGAACTCCGGTCTGGCCACACCAGCGTGCACTGAGGTTATGGTTGCTACAATCTCAATTAACGCAATTGCACTTGTGAATGACTGTGACGTACATACATGCTGGTTTGTTAACGCAGGCGTCATTCGATAAGTTTGGAAAAAAGCGGTAGGTACTCAAATGCAATGATAAACCGGAATAAACAATGCTAAAGCGTAGAGACCTCGAGGTGGCAGCGAGGAATCAGTCTTGGATTTTTACCGGTTTTCTAAGCGTGCAAGTCTAAGAAATGAGTCGATTGTTTGGATGGCTGCCGGCAACGGTCTGCATGAACTTCCGGACTGGACTTAACGTACCACGTCTACACGCCGAGCAAATTTCCCGTTTAGGTAACATGCGGCTTTGGGGCAGCTAGCTAGTTGGGAATGAGGATACCTTCAGCAGGTTTTCGCCACCTTTCGTAAATCAAGTCTGACACCGAATTACGGATTTTCCTCGGTATGCGAGTGTCCACGACAACTCTACCCGGGGATATAGTGGTAAAACGCAAAAACACCTGACAGGATAACTCGGTCTTTCAAGGCGGATGCCAAGCTGTGGTATTTCCTTAAAATATCGCCTCAGAGCAACTATCACTGGAGCGATCTCGAAATGAGTAAAATATTACGGACAGAGGTAAGAGGCCATTCCAACTGACCTCACTTAAAACCCCGGGTGAGCACCTGAGATCCGAACCCGAGTTATCTGGTCATCGAGCGGCTAAGTTGGACGCATTGCCACGAGAGTTGCGGACTTAAGTGCTGTTATTCGTGATCAGGACACATGGAATGGGCGTCCACTGACCCATCCCGATTGCACAGTGGCACTTCGAAAAATCATGCAGTCGGCGATTTTTCCACTTATTCGCCCGAAGATATCCCAAATGCAATTAAGTACAGTGACACTTTAATACATGAGCACCTCCCCACCCCACGCATTCTCCGTCCATTCACAAGACACCCTGACGACTCGGGAAAAAAGCGTGGGTAGTTGTTTCGAGTGAGACGAAGGAAGGTATGCACGTATAAAAGACCGAGGGTTCACATGGGCTGCTTATAAAAAATGTAAAACAATAATATGGGGTTTGGTAGGAGAGCAGCATGCGGAGATAATGGGACTGGTGAGGGGGCAGCGGGGAAGAGGAGGTTTGGCAGTCCGGCAACAAAAATACTCTCGTTAAATTATGCAGGAAAAGCAAAGGAGGCGAGGGCACGTAGAAGGGTTAGTGATGACACGGGTGCAGAAGGATGGGACTGTGAGGTACCTGTTGCATTTGCTGTAGAGTTAGACAGGCGAAACAGAGGTGATTGGTCACTCTTTGACAATTACATGCCATGCAGTCTAAGCCTGCCGGGGACAAATGACTGCAGTTTAGACAGGCAATACTGCAGCGGTTAACACCCTTTGGGGAAAAAGAAGAGGAACAAAGCAGCTCCTTCCCCGCACTTATATCTTTCGAGAACAGTCACAAATGGAGGAGGTGGATGCAAGAACTGATATACTTTACCACCGCATGCCACGTCAGGTAACTGGGAGGGAGGCTGGGATCGTACTCGGATCCGAAAACTTGCGGTTTGGTTTCACAGGGTAAGGAGTTAGTCTCGAGTCTGTGGTTCGCCTGAGGTAAAAGAAGACAATGGCAAGAGACAGACTAGCGAGGGAATTAGGTACGCTTGCTTCAGTTCATAACGCAGGCCAGAAAAGAATGAGGGCAGGTTCCACTGATCTAATCTAATCGTCCCTGAAAGGAGGTTAACAAACTGGAAAAGAACAAATTATCTCCAGCTGAAACCAGTGGCGGGGGATCGAATAAAACCGCTGTTCCAGAGCCTCAAGGACGCTCGCACCTGACTGTCCTGAAGCGCAGACGTACTAATGACAGGGGGGCCGGATGACCCTCACCTAGATGCTGTGGATAACTTTTTGGCGACTACAACGGTGGAGGAGGCAGAGGAGGTAGATGAGGATAGGTGGCCACCACCAGCGCCCTGAGGTGAGGATGAAGCGGCAGCGGTGGCCATGAAGGACCGATGCGGTGGCAGTGCGGGTGGGAACTGGTGATTCTGATGGCAGTAGTAGTGGGTCAGTCCCATACCTGTGCCCGGCGGGGCAGACTCGCCGAGACAGGTGCGATTTTCAAAGGCAGCTCCACCGGTGACAGCTGTAGAGCCAGAGGGTGGGGACGGCCAACCGGGAAGAGATAGAGAGGACGGTGCGGTACAGGAAAGACAGCCGTCACTTGGTGTCGGTCGGAGGTTCGTGTAATCCACGCCATAGGGCTGTAGGGCCTGGGGAAGAGGGGACGGGAGAAATATCATCATTGTTGGTAAGACCTTGTAGGACAGGAGACGACTGTACTTCAGCATTCTCGCCAAGAAATGCTACCAACAAACGAAAGCTTACCAATATGACTTAAATATACTGGGAGAAGAACTGCCAGGCTGGAAGAGTTTAAGAGGTACCCGAGTACGAAAATTCAACATTGGATTTGGAGTGCCTTGCGGCAAGAGGTGACTTCTAAGTGACCCATCTCCCTGACACACATCTTATTGGTGGCCCTACACATTTGCTCTTAGCGCAGCGGCCACACCCCACTAAACGATTCGAGTGGCGGGCAAAACTATGGAAGTAGTGCGCGGCATGAAAGTGGTGTTGTTGCACGTGCAGACGCAGCCTCCGCCATGACATCCGTTATGCCCAGACGCGTTGCCAGTTGTTTTGACGTAGTCTTGGCGATGAATTGCGACGGGATAGGGGAAGCGAGAGGGCAGTGCTGCACAAGTCGTCAGAAACAATTCGGGCGCATGCCACCGCCGGCACTAGGGCATCCCCAACACCGCAACCCACCGTCCTCAACTATCGAACTCCCATGCAGTTGGTCGAGCTTAACTTGGTTGTAAGTCATGGTAGAATGCGACGGGTGGCTGAAATACCTAAGCAGTCGCTTAACCCTTTGCAACGTATAGAGGTAGACGGCTGACCCAAGATGCTGTTTCACATTGCCTTCACAGCTTACCAAGGCTGTTGGGCGTAAATTAACGATCGGACCACGACGAATTCAAATTATGCCCCACCCAATCCCCTGAAACCAAGGTAATTTTGTTACTTGGGAGTCCGTTCTTCTAATTAGTCTGAAGGAATGCCGGCCCAATGGCTTCTAGAAAACTGGCTTAATACAAGTGGACACAGTTGCCTTCAGTGACGATTGCTTCTCGGGCAGGTCACACCCAGTGGTCGTTTTAACGAGACGCTGAAGTGGTATTCACCATCGAAAACGACATCTCAGGAAACTGTCCTTCTTCCTGCGTGGAATTGCCGATAAAGACGTCACAACGAGGCTTCTGTTTTATAGTAACGAGTTCGACAAGCCAATCAGCATCTATGCTCCGACAGTAACAAGCCCAGATGAAGTGGAGGAAAAGTCTGCAAAGGTCCCCACTTCCTCTATGTGTATGTGTCAAAGACAGCCAAACCGATAATTCTCGGTGACGTCAGTGCGCGGACGCGCACGGATCACATCACCTGGGAAGGGGTACTTGGCTGTCAAAACAAAAGGAATCCTTCTGATGAATACCTGTTTGGGACACAAACTCCTAAGCACAAACCACAAGGAGACAATATGGATGAAATCTCGCTCGCGTCACTGGCAACTACTCAGATATCTACCTGTCGGGAAGCCAGCTCAGTCCTGGGAACGGAGACGATGTAGTGTGACGGATAATGGACTGACAACCATCCAAGGTACCCAAAGACGTGACCTCACATCTAAGCGCGACGGATCTAAGGGCAAGACAGCCTCTGGGTAACTGAACACCGTAGTACTAATTCGAGTTGGAAATTGACGGGATCCTACCAGCAAGACATCTGCTAACGGAATTCGTCGAGGACGAATATGTTAAGAGGAAATGGAAGAGACTGAAGGAAGTTATTGACACCACTGTCATGGAATCCTTCCGACCCGTGCACTGATAACATTAGAACCGGCGTCACGACGACGTAGAGACTCAGTGAATGAAGGACCAACACTAAGGGGCCTACGCGAAAAACAGCGCTGGAAACAAAGTCGAGCTCTCCAGATGCTGATGCAGAAGCTGTCAATGATGTAAAACGCAGACTGACTCGTAATGTAGAAAAAAAATCCAAAGATGCGTTGACCGTGGATAACTGGCGAACAACTTTGAGGCCGCCAAGGCAGTCTACCGCCCCCAAGTCCACCAGACGCCGCTATTGCCCAAATCTGAAAAAAAGTAACTCCGCAGACTGAGAACTCGCGAATCATGACTCCGGGGCAAGCACATAAGGTGCGTCCCTAATAGTTCATCCTCAATTTGTAAGGATGTCATTAACGGATCATCGTAAACAGAAGTAAATTCTGGTCCTGCTCATCCGCCCTCACTACAAGAGATAAGATCAGGGTAGTCCAAAAGATGCCCAATAAAAAGCTCTAGGTCAACAAATTAGGCGGACTGAAGCTTTTGGACTCTACTATTCTGGGCAATGTGGCGGAAGGGAGGAATCCAGGTTTCCAGAACACCACTAGTCACACTTCTAGAAGTGAAATGGAAACCGGTAAATCTGCGATAACAACCACGGCATGTCTCTTATTAGCGCCGATGGCAAAAACTCCGTTCGCGTTCTCTTAAGTCAGTTGATCATACACCAAAAGCATGAACTCCTCCAGCAAACCAACGTGGATCCCATAAACATCAGGGTAAAATTGGAACGATCCTTGTCGAGTGATGGCTATAGAAGAACATCAGGCGATGAGAATTAGCCCTCACGCGAAGTTCGTCCATCTCACCAAAGCGTCCGACACCGCAAACCGGGACGAAACCTAGGAACAATTAAATTCGGATGTCCTGAAACATCCATATTTTGGATCAAGCAAATATATTCCTCATGGTAGAACAGCGAGCGCCATGGACAACAGAGTAAATTCGTAAGCCTTCGGCGTGACGAATTGGATTGAATATGGCTGCGAACTAGCCCGACCCTTTTCAACCTCATTCTCTACCCATTCGGTAAAGATTCGTCATGAGGCGCAACCAGATGCTGACATCAGAATTTGGGCCGACGGAAACCTATCCGACACCCGTCGTATCTGTGGCTTGATTAGGGTCCAGAACGACAGGATAAATCATCTAGTTACCGAGGATAGCGCATTAAACACTGCAACAAAAGAGTGTATTCAATAGAATTTAGACTTCTTCGCTCCCAAGATGAGCCAACTTCGAATTAACCAAAAGCACGGTGGTAAAGGTCATTATGCTGTAACGGGTAACCACCACACAATATACGGAACTTTTACACACTGTTAAGGACAACTGCTCCATTGCTGTAGACAAATTCTTCTGTCTGCAAAGCACAATCCCTAGAAGCACTAGAATCGGTAACGAAACAACAGCCCGGATGTCATGAATGGAGACTCAGAGCGGGCGACATGTTTAACAGTGTTAAGAATCAGGAACGACGATGTTGGGTTTACTTCCTCCGTTCTTAAGTAATAAGTGTCTGAGTTAAATATCGAAGACCACGGTTGGGTTGAAGAAACTCAAAAATCTGTAACTTTTCAGGTCATGTTTAAAGCCTACAGGGACAGAACTCAGCAAGGGAAGGTTAACTGCTAGGATCCCCCGTATCAAAAGCCAAGGGAAGAAACAAGAACCAGTGGAAGAGAATGAGATGAGGACGTACATTCCGCAGTTTCACTCTGAGGAGGAGACGAGACACAAACTCTTGCACAGCTTTATAGATGAAACAATACTGGGCCACAGTTTGCACCATGCCAGATCTTTGCTCACGCACCGCCTGTACAGTGCGTGCAATGTCAATGTCCGTATGCAGGCCAGAGGATTTTATACACTTGATCAGCATGTCGATCACAATAAATGTTCCCGTCCTCCCGATACCTGAGCTGCAGTGAACAATCATCGGCCCCGAAGAGGTCAGTCCATCCTGTAAAATGGAGATAGAAAGACTAGATTTAAGCAAACGCACTATTTAAAATTCAGTATACAGTGTCAATAGTAGTGAAAATGTGATTCCCAGGTGGCATATCAAAAGAAGAGGCGTTCACCGGGAGGGGTTTATTAGAGGTCCGACGTTTCGAGTAGTTGATTCGTCTACCCCTCTCCAGAGACTGGAAAGTCCTGCGCACAGCTCCCCTTATATGGCGCACTTTGTGCACTGCGTGACCCGCCAATGCCGCCTGTTTGGCTGTATCCAACCCGCATGTCATACAGCAAGGCAAGTGCAAGAAGCCTGGATGTCCACCGACTGCTCTGTCAACCGCCACATCATTTTGCCTCCCCCTATCTGACTTCACGAACCTTCTTAACAGGGGACAGGCACAGCGCGGGACAATTGGGGTCGTCAGTCATCTCCGCGGCCGACGGGGGCGATTCAGGTCACGGTGACATGCAGGTCGGATGCAGCCACACAGGCGGAATTGGCGGGTCATGCATTGAACAAAGTGCGCCATATAAGGGGAGCTGTGCGCAGGACTTTCCAGTCTCTGGAGAGGGGTAGACGAATCAACTACTCGAAACGCCGGACCTCCAATAAACCCCTCTTGATGAACGCCTCTTCTTCTTTAGTATTTAGTGTATTTGGGGGAAATAGACTTACGCATTTGAACTCCCTATTTTTACGCAAAAATCTAAAAAATTAGCAACAACATGAAATTCCAGCAACAAGCGAATGCAGAAATCGACTCACAAAGGGCAAATTTCAATTAAAGGCAATCTTTAACAGCACCAAAATGCCTCTATTCAGAGTGTGGCATTAACCTGTTGGGTCGAGATGTGACACATGAAATTGAGAAAGCACGAGGGATCCGCTGGAGTGCCATGTTCAGGCCAGGCGAGGAACTGGAAGTGGTGAACGGTAAGAGGCTCCATCGAAGATTCTCCGGTGGTCCTATCCACTAGGCAAAGATTAAACTCTCGCACGAGGCAAGTTTTCATATTTTGCTCGGAGATGTGAGATACATGGAGAGTTCCATTATAGGTAGGCAGCGTCAGGGTGCTCTCTGTCGCGGTAGGCCAGTAGCGAAAGCATCGATTCTAAAATTATAAGAGGCAGTTGGGTGTGATGAGTTTAGAATTGTTTTAGTTTGCACACAGAAGACCGAAGTCTTGCAGTCTACGCGAGTAAACATTCGATATTCCTGGACGCCAGTGCCAGGTACGTCTTACAAGAAAATGTGATATTTGCAGAATAGCATTACCGACAAAAATAAGGGAGATTGGAATGGCCAGTTCTGGTTCACTAGCCGTCGTCAGTCAGCCATACCCAACTCCGAAGTGTGGAAAACCTAGGGCTCGATCCCGTAACCTGTTGGTTGGAAGTTCAACGCCTCTAACCACCGAACCATGGGCTCATTGTCCTGTCGGTTGCGATTGGGAATATACAACGGTAGAGAGGCGCTCACCGGTCGTTTTTACGGAACTCACTCGCCGCATTGCCTTAGGGCTCCCTCTCGAGCCCAACCAGCAGCCGCACAGCGGCGCACGACACAGGCAGAATAGCATTACCGACAAAGACAAAAAAGACTAAAATGGCCATTTTTGGCTCATTAGCCATCGTCGGCCAATCATACCCAGCCACGAAGTGTAGAACACCTGGGGCTCGATCCCGCGACCGGTTGGTTAGAAGTCCAAAGTCTGACCACTGCTCTAACGCACAAAAGGAGGACGAATGACTTCTATAAAAACAATCGGCGAGTCCCTCTACCAATGTGTTATTTACTGGGGTTTCCTCGGATAAAGCTTCCTCTGCTGCCGACTATCCGGTCTGATTGAGCGACTTGTCTCATGAGGTTTTCAAGGTGAAATTGCAGTTTTATATCTCGGTGAAATTCTTCCGCACAAAAATTTCTACTGTAAAGTCGTTAAGCCGTATTGCAAAAATAATTAGTGGTGTCACAAAGGCTCCCATGGAATGACAACGTGCTGACAGTACTGCACAGGTGAAAGATCATCTCCTGTCAGTCCATCTTCTTTACGTGCATTGAAACATCTAGTCAGCTTCTGCAGCATAGCAATGTACTTTGATCGATAAGCTAACAGGAGTCACAAGCACATGTAGGACGGTTGGTTTCCTGCATACTGCCATGATTCACCGTTCCCTTCTTGGCTAGCGGCGCATTGCACGGAAACTGCCTGCTTATGGTAGCAAAAGTCGCAGGACTCCGAAGTCGGGCTCACGGCTGACTATTAGAACGATGATAGCGACTACAAGGATAGAGTGAGAATTGAGACTAACTCGACCACACTCCGTCTCCTTGGTGAGCATGACGATGATGGAGGACCGTTCCTGCCATACCATTCGCCAAAAGTCGCAGCAGGTCTCTGGTAGGACACCCTGAGTTGCAATGTAGGGGGGACAGGGGGGTGGTAGCGGCGGCGCACGAGGTGAGGGAGAGCGCTCTGTGTTGTGATCAGAGGCAAGAGTGCAGTGTTTAGCTTCAGTCGCGGCCTCCGTCAGAAATGCCTGCAAGAGGGTAAAGGTAAAAAGACCTAAGAACAAATAGGTGAATTAATGTGGATAAAAATCAAGAACATTGTGGAACGGTGGTGCTCCTCTACTGGTGAACCCGCAGCCCCAGATTGCGTGCAGATTGGCGCTTAAAAGGAAAGCCCGTCGTGGATGAGGGCATTAAGGCGACTGAGTCAGGTACAGATATCAGGTCCCGGCAAGTGATCGGTGATGAAATTGTTGGTCGATCATCTTATAGTACATCTTAAGTCCCCGTGGTATAGGCATCGAGATGTAAGGATCTCAACATAACGGCCGTGACAAGGAGACGGATCGGAGTGAAAGTGATGACCCAGCTTAAACAGCTACTACTTTGTGTTGCTGGCATACGTTTTTGCTTGTTCCCTATGAGCATGGCAACGTGCTGTGTATGGTATTTCCCACTTCTTTCAGTACGGCACAAAAACTCTGTTATGAAAATTCAGGGTCAGATTTTGTTTCTTCCCGTTCTTTGACGTTGCTTCTTCATTGACTTTTACCATTTTCGTTAGCAAACGCACAGAAACTGGCATAACTTTCTTGTTTTCTGTGTAACGGAGAAATGTAAGGAACGGAAATGTTCTCCAAAAACTACATTTTATTCGAAGGCTGTTGACAAATTTGTTATTTCCTAATTCGCTGGTTTTCTACTCATTCTCTCGCCGCATCTGTCAGAAGTGAACCCGCAACGATTTCAGACTCCTGGACTGAGTGGGCAGCACAGATCGTATAATATTTCGTTTGCACTCAGAAAAGTAGTCGGACTACCCACTCACTGGCCCAGGAGCACATCGGATCGATCGTAAGCGGGCAGATATTCCTACGCGATTTGCCAATAGGGCAACTGGTCGTGATTGCTGAATAACTTTTCAGAAGCTATATGATATTGCCGCTCGTAAAATGATTAACTGACTACCCGTGTGGGCCAAACAGACCTGATTGACTGAGATTATTATCTAATAGTGAGATGGGTTAATCGCGCCTGCTGAAAATCAAGAATGTCCGCCACAATGGGGGCGACTGAGGTCAGCACAGAACCTGCACTAACACAACTCTACGGTTTAAGATATTTCTCAGACCAGCGGCCTCTGGTCCTCGACGTTGAAAAGAGTTGATCACTCTAATCAGATCCGACACCGCCAACCGTCTCGCTGAAGACTATGCGGAACATTACTGACGCCCGTTATATCAGTCATAACGACGGCCATATCAGGCAAGTGCCAGCGAAAACCTAGAAACAGTCGCCGAGATAACTGGTCAAACATGAAGCTGATTGAAGCCTGCACCCATGATGAGAAGTCGGTCAATCGACGTACTTGTCTGGAGCAACCACCTCCGAGCCTACGGTACTAGTCGCTGGCCGGGTAAAAACTCATATAACTATCACCTGTTCTGTTGCTGCTTTCAACCCTGAGAGTGGACTTCTGTATGCGTTCGAAAATTTGGAAAAATTAACAAATGGTCCCAATTCCTGATTAGTCCTTTCCCCATTACTCAAATATTCGCCTCCGTTTGTAAACAGCATCAAATTCCATCATTGGTTGTCACTGGCGGCGGACAGCCAAAAACAATTTATTTGCCACTTACATATATTCCCCATCCACCACTGCAATCAGTGCACCACTTCAGTAGAACAAATGTAAGCCTTGAAAATTTGTCAGCACAAGTTCTAATAAGGTGTGATACAGACGACAGAGCCAACGTACTTCATGCGTGTCCTGTGGTCAGCTCGTTTCGTGAATACCAATTACCCGAAGTTGTCTTGTATAGAAAGTCCAATTGTCAAATAAGGACATGCGTAAGACTTAAGATATTTCGCACCTACGTCGTTAGTAAGGTGTGGCTGGGTCTATGTTTGCAGAAAAACGAGGCTTCGCTCCCAGAAGCCTACTTTGCAAACCTAAATTAACCAAACTTTCAAAATCCAAGGTAGGGATCGTTTATGTCCCTCCACTCTCCCGGCAGGACATGGGAAAAGGAACCCTCTGTAATACAGGTGTCTTTGAGGTAAATTCCCGAGAAATTAATGCTGGGATTAGGTTTAGAGCTAGTTTTAGTGTTAAGACATGGGAATAGGCACCCTTCCTAGGGGGGTCGTTACTGTTCCCGTGTTCCGGTGGGACCATATAGACAATCCCTACCACATCCCACGGCAGGCGGGAGTGACAAAAGATGCGGTGGCACAGCGTCGGGCTCAAAGCAAACTACGGTTGAACGAGTGTCCTCAGAAGTGAAAAGTACAGTTACAACAAGTAGCACAGAAACGCTTAAAATAAAATACTTCTGTGGCAAACTACGTAAAGGAAATTAGTGGGTATACGCGGCATGCACAGCAAGTGTAAAGGTTCAGTGGGGATCAAAGGAAATAAGATTGAGCAAAGCTCATCAATCGAGTCATGGCGCATTGCCAAGACCGAAATAAAAGGCAGGAAAGGGACGTGCCGGTGGCAGAATGTAGTTTGCATTGATATAGTCGGAGCCAGGATCGGCAGGATTTCCGTCGCGCAGGACGACCCGAGTGGAGTCGAAGGGAAGAATGTTCTTGTAGCGGTTACGGGACTGGTTATAGGGTCGACTTCCCTCCGTCCTTGGTGCCTTTATGTGTAGATAAGTATTTATGTTGCGGGAAAGGTGGCTAGAGTGGAGAAGAGGAGGGGGAAGAGACAGGGTCAACGTACTTCATGCGTGTCCTGATGAAGTTCTTCAAACTCCTCCAGAAAGCCCGACAGATACTGGCCTCGACTCTTCTGCTTCTCCAACTGCGCAATGCGCTTATCCAGAGCAGAAACGTTAAGGCGCGTAGCATTGAATGGCTGTGAAACGTGGTGATGGAATATGAAGACAATGAGAATGAAAATAGGTTTAAAATGGACTAAATGAGAGAAAGCTTGTGTCGGAATATGATGGAGGTGGAAGGAGACTGGAAAAAAGAATAAGAAAAAGGATGCAGATCCTGCCCTGGTGACCGGACTGGGGGGTAAAGACCAAACGAACCTGCTTGAGACAGACCAGTCCGCCACTTTTGTCCATCATGGGTGACTGGCTATAGTAGTCAATGAGTTGACCCAGTGAAGAGAACTCCGGTCCACCACCAATGTCAAACTTGGCATTGGGCTTGCGGCATATGAGAATGTGTGAAACACAATCGCCAGTGACAACGGATAAGACGTAGGAACCGGGTTGACGCACAGATTCCCGAACAAGAAAACTCCCGTTCTTGCCCTTCTCAAGCAACAAGTTTTGAGCTTCCTTTGCCGTCAAGTGACCATGAAACCACCGAGAGCTGAAAGTGTATCCATTTTTGAATGGGGGGGAACAGGTTATTTAAAAACCGTTTAAAAAAGAATTGCCACGGAATCAGCGTTCGAGGGACAAATAACTTTATGACATTAGATGATATAACGGCAAACTGAGTACAAAGAGGAAGGGGTAAACAAATAAGATGACAGTTACTTCTGTGCATGTAAAACGCAGCCCCAAGGTCTATATAGTCAGGGCTACAAGTCACAAATCGAGCTCGTTATTAGGGGGTAAATAGTCCCGACGTTATATATAGACATGAAGTAGCACTAAGACGTTCAGCTTGAAGCTTACCATTTTTACAACTTTTTCCTAGCAACACAATATAGGATGGGATTTGCACCAAGTAAATGGAGATTTTGAACCTCAAAAATGATTTTGTAGGCAAGTACAAAAGCACTTGATAAAAATCAGTTATGTGGCCTTGATAGAATAGTCCAAAATATTTTCTTTCCCGGAACAGCTGCCTTGTTTTAGCTACCACGAGCTCAAGGGTCCTTCAAATAGCCGCCGCCGCCGCTGGGCCTATATGTGGGTAATAGTGGTTGGTGAATGAACTCGTCTTGCGGACAGATGTGTGGACTTACGGACCTCACGAAAAAAAACGTCTGCTTTAGAATAGAAGAGCTAAGTCAAGAAATTCAAGAAGAGAACAAATGGTCTTTAAAAATAAGCAGTTTGAACGCGGGCAGAAAACATGGGAATTATCTTAGGAACTACAACCTTTATGGCAATTAATTGTCAAAAAATGATGTATTAACGGCAGGACTGCGGGAGCAGGATTTGAATCTAACAATCCAGTTGTTATATTTCCGATTTTCTAAATTTGTCTGTCAGTCTTTCGTCTAAAATGCTCTACTTGTAACCAGGAAGAATTCCACGTATCCACCTTTAGCAGTGGAGTCATGCATTGCTCTAAAGAAGGCGAAGATTGCCGCACCCAATGGAACCGGTAAGACGATTTACCCAGCTGTTTTTTACCCGGCTCGTCTATAGGTAGCGAATAGTGGAACGGCCTCCAGCACGAGTTAACTGCACATAAGCAGGCCCTTAAGTCTGGAAAACAAACAGTCGCGGATCAGTAGAAACGGTGATACCAGGATGCGGAGCGCTGAGGTCCGGCAAGCAACTGCCCAATAAAATGCCACAAAGTCCGATGACGACACTGTGATATGGCAGGTGTAAACCTCCATTAAATAAATTTGGTTGCTACCACTGCTTTGTGGTGAGATTCTTGAGCCAAAGCGGCAGAGAAAACCTCGAACAATGGGAGCGGCTGCTGGGATCCGTACGCGCGTCTGCGGGAACTGACACACACCGCAACCCTGGTCTAATAATACGAGAGAATAATAAGCGAGATGGGCCACTCAATCGAAAACGGACTCTCGGTGTTGGGTGCTGGAACGTGCAAACTTTCCTGGACCCGAGTACCCAAAGTCTGGCGTTGCAAAATTTTTATCAGTACAGAACGGATGTCTGCTGCCTGTCTGAAGTCCAAATGGTCGACCCAGGCGCTCAGAAATTCAAGATCCAGGAGGGAGTCGACTCCCACTTCACCCCATACCGCAACCAACCACCCGAATCTTCTGATAGACACTGTGACGATCACCCTCTCGAAGCAAGCAAACAGTTTGCTACTTGAGTTCTAACTAGTCAATGAACAGCTGCCTTATGCGCGACTGACGAATCACTTTACTAGCACCACTACTGTCTTTATGTACGCATCAACAGAGAAATACAGTAACCTATACCAGGTTGCAAAAGTTAGTTGAAAGACCCCTTCACCATATTCTGGCAATATTTGGCGGAAACTGCAAAGGTCGGATTGCAGCCCGCCACTCTTCAAACGGTCACCTTATTGGTCGCTTTGGGCTTCGTTCTTGGTGCAACATGGGTGAAGGCATGCTAAATTTTGGCAATCGCGACCGGCTACTTATCATCAACATGTGTTTCCAGCTCCGCCAGACGGTTCGACGCATGACCCGCCAACAGCTCTGGAAAAGGATGGCAAAGTCAGTAAAAAGAGAAGACAGCTAAGCTACGCGATCGAACTTACGACTTTCATGAAACGGACCTCAAACGTCGGTGGCACTAAACTCACCTGCCCATTCGTCAACTGAGTGCTAGGTCCTCTGCATCGAGGGACTGTTCGCTATGTGGATGGCAGCATTTCTGCTGACAACTCTGCCAAGATCTGGCGCTCGTATACGCACTTAAAGCACCTTCTTAACGCTGATGACCAAATCATCACGCCCTCGCCCTCCTCTGCGGTGGAGTTTTATCCCTCTCCACCCTTTTCAGTGTCGTGTGACCCGCCTCCCGACGAGGAATCACCAGTGTAATGAGGTGGCTGTACAATAAAAAGGCGCCCGGGGAAGACAGTATTCCAGCTGAAATCAACTAGCTCTATGTCGACACTGGCGCCCTGAATCCATGAGGTGATTGGGCAAGTGTGGGGAGGTGAGTTGGCTCCTGATGGCTGAAGCCTTAGCATCCGTCAGCCTCCATTCGTAAATGGAAATAAGACAAAGCGCGATAACTACCACAGCTTAAGCTTCGGAGGTCACCCTTGTTGTCATTCTCATGCGACTTCAATGTGCGTGACTCGGGAACGAGACCCTATTAAACCGTGTTCTGAAATGAGTGTGGAGGCAAGGGCCAGATTTGTACGCTAAGGCGCATCCTTCAATTCTACTATGGCTTCGTGCAACCGACGGTCATCTACTTTGCCGCTTTCGCCACAGCTGCCTATTGCGCATATTGTGAGTCCTTTTGGTGGGCGATGGGCTTAAACTGCGTGCCGGCAAAACTCAGCGCCGATGAGGGCCTACAATCGCTCCACTACTGCGCGGATTCTGGTCCATAACAATTTCTCTCGACCGGCCGACATTCGAGCTGGCGCTCGACAAGGTTGTGTTCTGCCACGTATTCTGTTTAACTAGGACACGGACTGGATTCTCCGACAGACCCTACAAGGTTTTGGCGGTGTTGAGTTTGCACTCAAGCGCAGGCTGCCTGATCTCCACTACGCCGATGATAGCATCCCGATAATCCTAGGCCTTAGTTACCTGCAACCTATTGTTTCCTGGATGAATGACGTCGCTAAATCGGTGGACTTACCCATAAATGCCGGGTAGACCAGTGTTTTCAAGGTGCACTCCTGGTCGAGAGGCGCCACTTGAGACTAATAGCTGTTAACTAAAGGAAGTAGATCGTTTAAAACGCACCGAGACGAGTCTGCTGTCGAATGGACAGAGCACGGACGACATCGCCTCCCGAACCGATGCTGATGGGCGGGTTTTCATAATCCTTAAAACGCGTTTGTGGACCCGACGCGACATCTTCATCGCCATAAAGATACGTGTGTACCAGGCATCCGTGAGGTTGGTCGCCTTATAGGTTTTCAATGCTGTGCTGTGCGTGTGAAGGATAGGCTAGAACTGGAGGTTTTTGACCACTGCTGTCCAAGGACTGTCATTGAGTGAAGTACACCGACCCCGTATGCATCGCTGCGACAACATTGCGAGGATAGCTGAGGTCATCTAAGGATTCAGATAGGCAGGAAACGTTCTTCACCGTCCGCCTCATGAGCTTAGTGTTGCTGTTCTCGATACGGCGTCGCTGCCCATCCGTGAGCTTCGAAGAAGAGGTCTACATAAAACTGGCTCGATACCGTCCACCAGGATATGGAAGTGGTTCTTTAAACTACTGTATTTGTTTTACATCCATGGAGGAAAGAGGGTCGAGTCCTCTGGGTCCACTCCCGTGGATCGCCATGCGTGGAGGTATAATTCGCGATATCATCGAGGTCGGCTTGATCAGGCACGACCACAGCTGTAAACAGTAGACGTCCACTTGCTCAGGGAACTCGGGCTGGCCCAAGAGTGAAAAGGGAGTATAGGAGGGAGAACAAAAATTCGTACGACATCAAGCTGTGGGCAGCCTTACAAATAGAAACGTTTACCCCATGGTTTACCAAAAGTATCAAAGAGACCGAAGATAAAAAATAAATGGAGGTCAACTTTTGGACATCTATTAGCATTTGCAAAACTTGCACCTTAAATGAAAGGATTCGCATGACCGGTTGCAATTTTGGTCGTATTTATGTCCAGTAAATGAGGCGTGCATTTACGCACTTACTAAAACCAACCTTTCACAAATTATATCGTCCACAAACAATGGGTACAGCAAATCAATGGTTGTCCCATTTTTTTCCGTCAGTTGACCACGGTTCTCCCGATAGTAGTTAACCAGTTCGGTCAAAGTCGCAAATTTTTCCCCGCCATAGATGCTTAGGAAGTCCCCTGTGTTTTGAATGCGTATGTGGGCAAAAGAATCCTGTCGCCTGACAGACAATGTAAAGTTTCCAGGATTGCTGTGACTTTGGCGGACTAGAAAGCTACCAGGAACTCCCTTTGCTATAAGAAGCTTTTCCGCCTCGATCCCAGTTAACTCATTGTGGAACCATTTGCGACAGTCTTGCGCCATACACTAAACCATGTGTGGAGTTAGGAAAAAACGTTCGTATAGTTCGCAACTATTCCAAACGAGTAAAACAACTTCGTAATAGTACGATTAATAGATTTATTCGAGATAGAAGATAAAAGGCGTATTACGGTGTTGTTCTGGCCTTCGGTTTACTAGCCTTAACAGGTGGTCGGATAGAAACGAACAAGCTATAATCAATAACGTCCACAGATGGGGTAAGGAGCCATTGGGCGGTCATCTCTAACTTAATTTCCCTGATTAACTCACCATACTACAACTTAAAATTGCACCTGAGGTTCGACTAAAAGTCCTTTGATGATGACGGAATAAACCACTCATAACCGCTCGTAACTCAGTGATGTGACCTTTGCTTTATGGCCGCTCCCAACCAACCTTAGTATGCCGATAAACTGAATAGCGTATAAAGGGTAAGGTTCGTTGGAAAAAACCAAGATGTAGTCGTGAATTGTCGGGCTGGTGACACTAATCTCCGCCAGACGAAATAAACAGAAGAGAAAGTGAAATGGTCAGACTAAACTGGTTGGCGCAACAGGACAGCCGCTGGCAGACAAACAGTTAGTGCGTGAGAGGGTTGGACACATACTTACGTTAGGATTTGGAGCGGGGAAGGGATCAAGAACTGTTTCAGCTCCCTTTGACGGATGGTAAGAGGGATGCGACTCGCTGGGACTGCAGGCGATGAAATTAGTGGTCGTCGATCCGACATGTAGCAGAGGTCAGTGCGCCAAATTTAAGGGTGCCAAGAACTGTAGTCGTGGTTCGCCAGGTCTGGGGGATGGAGTGACGAAACAGTTACATTCTGCACGGTCCAGCATGGATAAGCGGTTTTCGTTAGACCGTGGGCGCAAGTCAGTGAGCCGGGCACACAGAGCTTCGTAATGAGCATCCAGCTTGACATGGGGATTGGTGGTGGTCAAGCTAGAGTGCCAGGCTTCAAGGAATTCTCGCGCCTGTTTGGTGCTAGATAGGACAATAACTTCGGTTCCTTCCCAAATTAAGCGATGGTCACTCAAGGACGAATGATAAGAGGCCAGGTCGTCGGATGGCGGGTTTGTGTTCGTTTATGCGCGTCCGAGGCCATGTGCAAGAGCAGTTGGCAAGGGGATTGTTGTAAATGATATTTATTTGCTGCTCTTTGGGTTTAGACTCTTTTACTCTGGGTAGTGTTGCGCGCAGGATGGACGCCGGCGTGTGGACAATGGGAAAGGCAAACCAGTCTAGCTGTCAGGCGATCGCTTCGGGAATGCCCTGCATGTAGGCCAGTATACATATTTCAGCAGCTCTTGGGCTCTGTTAGTCTGTTGTGAGTCTGGCACAAGAAATGAATATTTAGGAGGTAAATTATGTAAACTGAATATGGAGACCATGCATTTTTAGTGTCGTGTACTTGTTTCAAAGACAACGGATTATAATTTTCTGGAGCACAGTCGTCCGACTGAAGTTTATACTGCTGATATCTTCGCGTGCCTCACAGCATGGTGGGCGCACGGACGGGGACTTGCGCATGAGTTAGCTAGCACCGATAACAGACTAGCATCTACCTCACTCTCGTGTTCCCTTCATTTCTGGACCGGGTGACAGGTCGAAATGATGATGACCAACGACAGTATGATTCGCAGTTGCTGACAAAGTTAAGCAGTCCGTCTACGCACTCCATTTACGACTGGCCCTTGTAAGATGGGCCAGGTTTTCACAGGAACAAGAGGTGGTGGGCTCAGATTCAATATGAGTGCAGGTGCCATATGCAACATATTGAGAAGGAATCCTTGCCGTCTGACTCTCCACCCTGAAGAAACCGAGTTATCTCATTAGTTAACAGCCTTAGAAACTGCGATTTTTCGTGCATTTTAATGGTTTTAAAGCTTGTCAGATACCCAATGGTGAGAAAATTTTCTCATATGCCGTTAAGACAGAGTCTCCAAAGTAAAAGTCGTTTCTTATTCTCTCTCTCAACCGCCACTACGCTATCCGATTGGGTCAACCATATTATGCGCAATTGAGATTAGGTGAATGATAGGGCTATACAGCCAATTGGCGCATGGCAAACACGACCTGGCCCAATAATATGTGGGCACAGGAACGGTGATTTGCACATGAATTGGTTTGCAGTGGTAGTAGACTTGTGCACCGTCTAACACATTCTCTACTTATTATCCACGTAAGCCTAGCCTAAAGAAGGGTCTGATTGTCGAAGGAGTTGCCAGGCACGGTGACTGACTAGGCTGTTGCTTTTTAATTTCCTCAGAAATTAACTGCGGACTTGGAGAAGATCAGTATATTCCAGGTCTCTAGGTGCTGATCGAAATGTTTTATGTGTGAATACTTGGGCAGAAGTCCATCAACCGCAGTGGGTAACAGCTGCCGACAGGCACGCCACACACGCCTGGTCGACGCAAAATATACCAGGTTTTTGACAGAAAAAAACTTGGAGCTGGCTCGGATCCCTAAGGAATGGGAGGGCCAATGGGGACTGGCCACTGAGTCTAACTCTCAATCCACACTTCAGTCACCCCACACAAACACACACAAGGTTGACAGCGAAGTCTGAGTCGTGCCATCAATTAGCACCATTCCAGACCACGACTCTTTCCGTGACCTGGTAGAATCGACGAGTCAGATTTATTGTAGTGAGAAATGCGTTCAAGTGCCGTGGAGGTGAAGTTTCCAGTGTCAGCCTCAAACTTATCTCTCCTGGGCATCTCACAATTGTCCGATTCGGTCAACCAGCTGATGCCGAGATCGGACGCAGTGGTTTACAGAACTAAAACAACTCGTCCGGCTTTCCGGGAGAAGTCTTGGTTCCAGGTGGCTGTTAAGTAGACTGATGAATATTTGGGCAGCACAGGTCTAGTGGTTGTCCTTGCTCTTGTAAATATGCACGTTGGTGTCCTCCTTAATGCCTGGAGGACGTACCCTTTTCGCAGCATATTCTGAAACAACGTTGTAATATTTGTCATCAGTCGGATGCCGCCATATCTGCTTTCTTCGGGCGGGACTGCATCGGAACTTAGTTCTTTGTCGCCGGAGACTTGGTGTATTGAATAAGAAGAGGGGAGGTCCATGTCGCTGTTTTCACATAGAAGTCTGCTGGTGGCGTCATCGGGGATTAGGGATGAGTGAGTGATTGCACCTCTGAAATGCTCATACTAGCATTTTAGAATTTGAAATGCCTTCGTGAGAAATGGTGTTCCCTCGGCACCGATCAGTGTCCTGGGTTCTCTTGCGCTGGGCCGTAGACCGATTTGGTTAACGAGGAGAAATTCTTCAGTTTATTATGATCTGTATAGGCGGTATGTCACGGACCTTGAGATTCATCGTCTGCAAACTCCGTCGTAACAGGAATCGGGAACGGAAGAAGGCCGCTTTAGTTGCGTGGCTCCTCGATTGGTGCAAGCTTTGTGCAGCTTATTCCCGTCGGCTAACAGGTTGTAGATCACCTAATCGTCGTTGTTGTGCCAGTTCAATTCAGTTTTTTTAAGAAAAAGAAGCGTGGGTCTTTGAGTGCCCCATTTGCAACGTAAAACTGGGTGCGGTTTAAAAAAAATTTCCTGTGCTAAAATAACATAAACGAGCCCATAATGGCAAGACAATATGGGAAGAAAGCTCAGGGAATGAGCTCGACCCCTCATAGCTCTTGGTCGTTTCGGAACACAAATATGTCAAAGTTCTTTTTAAAATTTTCTAACACCACAGCATCTGCAGAGAGGACACTGCACGATGTGACCACTCGGACAGAGAAGGAGGACAATGGCACATCCAGGCTTGCCTGCTGAATGAGCCCAGGCCAGGCTGTAGACTAACCCATTTAAAACGCGGAATGCTTGCAAGAGATCCCCGCAAAGTTGCTTGTAACTCGAAGGGAAGAGGTTCAGATTTATTGGGCGGTTTGCATAAGCAAGGGAGCTTTGCCCCTAACCATCCTCGTGGCTCTCCTCTGAACTCCTTTGAGGAAGTTTTGATCCTCAGCCGCCCACGATCTCCAGGCCTAAATACCGTACTCCAAGTGCGGCCGAACGAATGTTCCAAAAGCCTTAGAGAAAGCGTTTTCGTCGAAGTCCACAAACGTACGCTTAGTGACGTGCAGCACAGACATTGCGCATTTGCCACTCACGAACAATGAGCGGATGGTTTTAGGGAACTCGTCGTCAGCACACAGAGGTCTTTTTGGGCTTCGACTTCGCGCAATGCTGCACCGTCCAGAAGGAAGTCCCTTGTGCTGGCGGATCTGGCTGTGTTGTCTAGGCGAAGCATACTACAATTTCCAACGTTGAATCGCAGGAGCCAACGGTTTGACCACTCTTCCAACCGATGTAGGTTCATCTGCAGTCTGTCTTCGTCGGCAGAGCCCCGAATTACATTCAATATGTTCATGTAGTCGGCAAAAGTTGCTACTTCGCAGTCCAAAGCTCTTGCTACACCGTACACATATATTAGGAATAAAATGGGTCTCAATACTTAACCCCGGGGAACACCCCTCCTGACCACAGCAGGATCTGGATTTCCTTGACCGATGCATGCAAAGTGCTGTCGATACACAAGGACGTTTTCGAACCATTTGAGGAGGCTGTCTCTGATCCCTATTTTTTCAGTTTGTGTACCAGTTCCTGGTGTGGCACATTGTCAAACGCCTTTTGGCAGTCAATGAAAGCTATGTGGACAGCGCGCCTGTCGTCGAGAACTCGGATCCAGCTGTGGAGCGATTGTAACAAGTTTGTCGTGAGGGATCTTCCCTTCCGGAACCCATGCTGGCAGTTCGATAGCAAGTCGTGAAATTCCAGGAATTGCATCAATTCACTCTTTATGATCCTTCCAATAACTTTGCAGAGAATGCATGTCAAGCTTATGGGCCTGTAACTTGACGTCGATGCCCTGCTACCTCTTTTTTATAGCGGAGTAATGTGCTCCAGCTTTCCATCGATAGGAAGTGTTCCAGTGTCAAATAACGTTTGAAACAGCATCGAAAAAGGCACAGAAAACTCATTGGCAAGTTCTTTGATAAGCTTGAGTGTAATCTCTTCTAGTCTTGGCGACGTCGATTCGCTCAATGCCTCGAATTCTCTTCGTACGATGCCTTCTTAGAAGAGTTATTGCTTATGCGTGGAGTCGGCAGTTCTTCAGTAGATTGAGAAAGGTACCTTGTTGCTGGCGGTGTGCGCGACCATGAACATCCGTGAGGGTAAAAAGGATGATGCTCCGCAATTATTACAACCGCCTCTCAACGATAGCATTTAATCTCAGAGCCTCCGTACCATCCAGATGGCGGACCAGTCGTTTGCTCAAAACCAGACGGTGGTCAGATACATTCAACAGAAAACTATTTACCGTACCAGGTGGCTATTTACCTTATAGCCTCTTGCAAAACGAGAGTAAGGGATTTAGCTCGGGGATGGCAAGACGGTGGTCCGGAGAGCTGTCAGCATCATTGATTTCATTTGCTATCGGCACATCGGGACAGTTGCCTCTGAACGGGAACGTGCTCCAGCAGCTGCCAGCGCTGGGAACGGGGCTACGTCCATTTCGGAAAACAGAGGGAGGTATTGGTCAAGAGGAGATGGCGTTCTGCACAGGTACGCAGGAATCTGTTACTTTTGTGGCCGTCGAGTCGGCGGAGATGTAACACTCCCTTTCAGACGACAGAGCCTATACCCATGCGAGTAGTGAAATCATTAATTTCAACCAGTTTGTCCGCCTCCGGCATAGCCGTTAGGAGGGAGTGCAGTCCCCCGTAGAGTTTGTTTTCAACCCCGCCAGCGCCGATCATAGAGGGGACACAGGTACTGAAACTACTTTATACCGACTGCATATAATTGCAGTTATATTCTCAACTGTACATGAAAAAGTCCATCCGAGGCTCCGCCCATAAATTTAAATTACTGGGTGTGCTCGCGCTGCATTCTCACACTGT